GAGGATAGGATGAGAGACGAGAAGGATGGATGAAGATATGCTGTACAAAGGGAGGAGAGACGGGAGGGGTAACTTTGTACGGACCTGGGGGACAAGGTTTTGACAGTTCAGTCAATACCTCGTCCCAGGCACATGTGTGTGAGCAAATCTGTAGCTATACTGGGCTTCGCTGACCATAAAAGGGGCCCAGCCTTCGAAAGAGAGACCCCATGTTTGGTTCAGCGTCAGAGTCACACTGAGGGTGGCTGAACCAATAAGCCGCAAGCTTGTTTGGTGTGACTAACACCCGACCTCCAGGCGCAGCGCAGGGGAAATCCCAAACCACACTGCACATCAGACAACATTCAACGTTCAAGACGGCTTTTCCAAGGAATCTGTCGGAAGGAATTGGCCAAAACTCACTGAATGTGACCATGTGAAAGTTGGATGGATTTCATGGGTGTCTGCGGGACTGGCTAGGATGGAGGTGGAGTAGAGAATTCTAAGAGAAATGTCTAAATGAACCGGAACCGGACACGATTAACCCACGAGTTCTGAGGGGACTCAGATATGAGACTGCAGACGAACTGAGTGTGCTATGCAGATGGTAGCTTGAATCGGCCTCTGTCCCACACAGCTGGTGGGTAGCTAACGGAAGATCGATTTTTCAAAAAAGGTTGAGAGGAGATCCTGGAAATTCCAGGTCACTAAGTCTGACTACAGCACCAGGCAAACTGATGGAGCCCATGATATAGACCAATAATCAGGCATGTCGATGAACATGATTGGCTGGGGAAGAAGGAACCCTGCTTTTGTAAAGGGAAATCATCTAACCAATGGGTTCGAATTCCAAGAGACGGACAACGAGGCAAAGAGAGAAGCAGGGGAGGACGTTGTACTTGGACTCTCAGAAAGTTCTTGAAAATGTCCCTCGCTAAAAACTCTTAAGCCACTTAGATGGCCCGGGGAGAAGCGGAAAGGTCTGTCTTGGATCAGTCACTGACAAAGGTGAAAGTCAGTGGTGCGCCACAGTGTGGTGCACTGGTCAGAGACTGGCTGGCTGGGGGCGGGATCTGCATGCTAAATCCTGGAGACGCGGCAATGGTAAACACAGGTTCCAGCACCAAGGATCTAGGAGACAGTCAGTGAAATTCATAGGCAGCAGCTGCATAACAAACAAGTAATTTTTCACAGTCAACCTGTGGAACTCCTTGCCACAGGCTATTGTGAAGGCCAGGGCTTTAAAAAAAAAGAGCTAGACAGGTTCACAAAGAAAAGGTCCCTCAATTGGTATTAGCCAAGGTGGGCAGGGATCCAACACCGTGGTCTGCATGTGCTTCACTTCTGTTTGCCGGAAGCTGGGAATGGGTGACAGGATGAACTTTTGAAAGAGGAATTTGCATATTTTCTGGTGGAATCTGCATATCTTCTTCTGATTGCTTTTTCAAAAGTGGGTCTTTCGAAAGTAAAAGTAGTCTGGACGCGGGAGGGAGGGGGTTCAGAAAAAAACCTTTTTCAGAAAACCGTGTAAACCTCCTTTTTTAAGGATGAGCGGTTTTTCCGGAAAAAGGGTTTTTTTCGGAAAAAAATGCGTCCAGACTACTTTCACTTTCATTTTCAAAAAAGTGATCGGAACTAGATATGCAAATTCCACAGGAAACTATCCAAATTCCTCTTTCAAAATAAAAAGTTGTCTAGACCCTCAGTACCTGGGATGGGATGAATTATTGCATGGGTTCCCAAACTGGGGGGTGTGCTCCCCGGGGGGGGAAGTACGGGACTCAATTTATAAAAAATTAAAGGAGTGTAATATAATTAATGCCAATCAACATGGGATTATGGAAAATAGCTGATGTTGAACTAACATTTTATTGATACAACTGCAAGTTTGGTTGATAAAGGTAATATAGTGTTGATGTAAGGCATGGGTTCCCAAACTGAGGGGGGAGGCGCGAGGCAATTCAGCCTCCCCCGCCCCCAATCAAGTTTTGCTGCCCTGGTCAGTTCCTTTTTTTTTTTTGCTCAAAAAGTTTTGCTCCTCTGGGCGGGGTGGTGGGAGGGTTTCTCAAGAATCAAAAATGTGGCGTGATGCCGAAAAGTGGGAACCACTGCATTATAGTGTTTGTTGTGATTTCCCAGAAGGGGGAAATGCAGCCAAAGGAGGGCCGTGCGTAAAACACCAATGTTCACAGGGGAGGAAGCATTTGGGAAAAGCTGGGGTCACATGCTGGCCTCCCGAGCGGTTGGCAGGAGACAAGACAGACTTAGCAGAAAGTGTTGCACACTCGAGGGAAGTCTGGGATAATCTACCAAGATCAAATGTCCCCAGGGTGACGGGGAGGGTTGAATATAAAACAGTCCCCCTTGCGTGATCCTTTGAAGCTGCCTTACCTCACCACACCAGCTAGCGGGTAAAGACAGCTGGGTAGTGAGGGTATGAAATTCTAGGATGTAGACAGGTACAAACTTTGCCAGAGCCCTTCGGTTGTGAAGGGGAAGATTCTCTTTCACGCGGACACCATCTCGCACCGCTCAGGAAGGTGTTCGTGAAACAGGAGTGATATAGGATGATCACACAAACTGGTGCAGGGATATAACGTGACCATCCTGGAAATGAGAATCAGGTAAAAACATTTTCCTGTACGTTATGCATCTGTCCACGTGCAGGAAATATACACCATCCTCCCATTTAGCAGCAGCTCAGGCTGCTGTGTGTTTTCTGGAGAGAAAAAGATTGGGAGTGAAAGGAGTTTGGACTGAGAAGCTGCATCAGAGTTGGACCCACTAGTGCAGTGGTTTCTAAACCTTTCGGCATTTCATGATTATTGAGAAACCCTCACGCCCTCCCTCCCAAAAAATAGCAGTAAAACTTGGGATGGAATTGACAGGAGTGTGTGTGGCTGGGTTGCCTCGCGCCCCCCTCCCCTGGAATTTCATCACATCCCCCAGTTTGGGAACTCATGCTCTAGCGGAAAGTGACTGTTTTGAAACAGCGGTAAGTTTCTCAGCAGTGTGAGCTACCAGGAAATCCCTCCAGTGTTTAAAACCTTTTGCCTGCTTCTGAAGAAGAACAGAAGGATGGCACAACTCATCTCACTCCGCTATTATACTTTGTAGTGTCGGAGGAGGGAAAGGAAATAGCTCTCATTACAAATTGTGCCTGTAACAGAGGCAGTTGATTGTTTTGCAACTAATATTTAGACAAAAATTAAACTCTTTTAATTTTCATCAGAAATTCAATGCTTTTGTTGTTGTTGTTGTTGTTGTTGTTGCTTTCATTGAAAAAAGAAACAATCATTTTATTTAAGCAAAAATGTGCAGGTCTAATCAAACCATTTCCAAAACTTTGTGGATAGCGGGAACGTGTCTATATGATGTATCTTAGAATCAGAGAATCCCAGGGTTGGAAGAGACCTCAAGAGTCATTGAGTTGAACGCCCTGCCCAAAGCAGAACCAACCCCAACTCAATCAACCCAGCCAGGACTTTGTCACGACTCCATCCCCACCCTAGGGAACCCATCCCAGTGCTTCCCCACCCTCCCACAGAGATTTTTTTAATATCCAGCCTAGACCTCTCCCAACTTGAGCCCATTGCTCCTTGTTCTGCCATCTGCCACCTCTGAGAACAGCCTCTCTCCATCTTTGGAAACCCCCTGCAGGGAGTTGAAGGCTGCTCTCAAATCCCCCCTCACTCTTCTGCAGACTAAACAAGCCCCAATCCCTCAGTCTCTCCTCATAGGTCATATGCTCCAGCCCCCTAATTATTTTGGTTGCCCTCCGCTGGACTCTCTCCAATGCATCCACACCCTTTCTGTTTTGGGAGGGGGACAGAACTGGATTCAGTACTGCAGATGTAGCCTTCCCAGTGCCAAATAAAGGGGAATAATCACTTCCCTAGATCTGCTGGCGATGCTCCAGTTGCTGTAAGTAAGGGTATGTCTACACTCCACGAGGAGTAACGGTAGTTCGGAATAGAGAGCCTAATCCGAACTACCTACTCCATGCCGCATGTAGCCGCGGGCACGGAGTCCGCACTAACGGGCATTTAAAAATGGTGGCGCCCGGCAAGATGCAAATGAAGCCCGGGATATTTAAATCCCAGGCTTCATTTGCAACTTCGGATGCCTACATTAACCACCTTAGTTCGAACTAAGGTGGTAGTGTAGACATACCCTAAGGCTTTCCCATAAATTAGAGAAATGAAATTACTATCACCAGGATACACCAAAGTTTGGAAGATCATATTCCAAATATGAAGGGTTTACGAGCAGACTGAGACAGCACTGCCACAAGGGATCCTGCTGGAGTCAGTCCGGGATCAAGTAGTATCCAATATTTTCATTAATAACGGAATGGAGTCTATGCCCACTACACCTGTAGCTGATGCCTTGTTAGCAAGGGTTGCAAGTAATTTCATGGCCAGGGTAGGAATTCAAAATGATCCAAAAAAATAGAGAATCGATCCTTATGTTTTCTCTGTTGTGCTATGTTGTTACAGTTCCTAGCACAGTGAGCTCCCATCCAGAGGGGGGACCTTTCCATTCTACCAGAAGACACACAAGAAAGAATAAGAGAAAAGAGAGAGTTTTGTAGATTTTTTAACCAGGTCTAGACTGAAGTCACACTTGTCTCACGGAAGGCTGAAAGAACGTAAGTGATGTAGGAGTAGGACTCAAGCAAAGTTCCTGTTCTGTCTGATCAGAGAGCAAAGGTTTTTTCCAAAAAGAGGCATGAAGAGAATGGTCCAAATTCTGAGGGTTTATCCTGGGTGGACTGAGCAGAAGTGACGGGCTAGAGTATCAACACAGGAAAGATATCACAGAGTCAAGCTACCAGCTGCAACCTGATAGGTCTTAGAAGAATAATGAGTGGAAATCTCATAACTGTTGTAGAGATGGAAAGATGCACAAGTCAGCATGGTGTTGAATGGCACTCATTTCCCCTTCTCTTCACTTTAGTAACAGACTGAGATATGTCTTCAACACATTTAAATGCCTTCTGATCTCTCGTGTCTTGACAGATGGATGTTGTGGCTGGGACAGACGAGGGAAACCAAACCAGAGTGCAGGAGTTCATCCTCAAAGGCTTTCCTGGCACATGGTCCTTCCGGATGTCCCTGGCGGTGCTGTTTTCTGTGATATATGTCCTGACCATCGTAGGGAACACGTCCATCATCGCCTTGGTGAGAATCCATCCCCAGCTCCACACCCCAATGTACTTCTTCCTCTGCAATCTCTCTTTCCTGGAGGTCTGGTACACCACTGCCTGTGTCCCCAAGGCTATTGCTGTTGTGCTGGGCACAAGCCAAACCATTTCGTTCACTGTCTGCCTTCTGCAGTTGTTTTTCCTCCTCTCCTTGGGTGCAACAGAATGTTTCCTCCTGGCCGCCATGGCCTACGACCGCTATCTGGCCATATGCCACCCATTGCGTTACAGCACCCTCATGAGCAGCACCTTCTCTGCTCAGTTGGCCCTTGTCTCTTGGCTGGGTGGGTTCCTGGCTATCTCCGTGCTGGCGGCTCTAATATCTAGGCTTTCTTTCTGTGGCCCTAATGTCATCAACCATTTCATCTGCAACATAGATTCCTGGATCGTGCTCTCCTGCACCGACACGCGCCTCGTTGAGTTGGCCACTTTCATCGACTCATTCATTGTGGTCATGGTCTCATGTGCAACAACCATTGTCTCCTACGCTTTCATCATCTCTACCATCTTGAGAATCCCCTCAGCCCAAGGTTGGCAAAAGGCCTTTTCCACCTGCTCGGCCCACCTCACTGTCGTGACGCTCTGGTACGGCTCGGCCATTTTTATTTTTGTCAAGCCTTCAGCCCAGAGCTCATTGGATCTGAGCAAAACTGTCAACATCTTTAACACGATGGTAACACCGCTGTTAAACCCTTTCATTTACACACTAAGGAACAAGGAGGTGAAGGCAGCATTAGGAAAAACAGTCAGCGGAATGTTAAGTGGTTTTAAAAAAGCCTCGATTTAGTAGAAATTTGATCAAGATCACCAAAACTTGAATAGCAATGTCTTGAAAGTAATTGATCTAAGAAACAAAAATATTAAGTCATAACTTTTTCAATGTGCAGCCAACTCCTTTTCTTTTGCAACTGTAGCCGGACATACATCATACCTCACATCCTAATGTAATGTTTCCTCGCTGTATGTCTTTGGTTTACAGCTTCTCTCATTTACTGTAATAACCTGGACAGGTGAGCTCCAGTGGGAGAAAAAAACTTGTTTGTGCTCAAGATTTCCAGGTGTTAGGTTTGAATGTCCATCTGCAGGAGGTGAGTGGTTGGGTCCATTAGGCCTAAGGGAGGTAGGACCTTAATACCATTTCAGGAAGTCAGTTAAACAGACATTAAAAGGCACAATGCCAAAAGTGAAAGGCCAATGACTTTTTAAAATGCCGTAATGGAGACGTAAATTCAATGTGTACCCCAAATTTAAAAAATAGAAAAATAGTAAGAGGACCACAAACTTGCAACTGTGACTCAACAACAAAGTCAAAGAAGCAGTGAGAGACAAAAAGGCATCCTTTAGAAATAGGAAATCAGTCAGGGTGTGTCTAGACTACAACCCTCTGTCGGCAGAGGGATGTAAATGAAGCAGTTCAAAAGTGCAAATGAAGCCGGGATTTAAATATCCCGTGCTTCATTTGCTTATTCACATATTGGTGCTCCTTCAAAAAACTGCTATTTTGAAATTGAAACCTCAGTCTAGACGCAGTTCCTTCAAAAATAGAAGCCTTTTTTGAAAGATCCTGTGAGGTTTACAGGAATCTGAAGAGCCACTAGCCAAAGACTCAAAGACAAAAACCAATTTTTTTAAGTACACCCTACCAAGGAATCCTACCAAGTACGCATCGAGGCCACTGCACAGTTGAGATACTAAAGCGGTGCGCAACGAATGTCAGAGGAGCACAGTGAGTTCCTGGCATCAGATCTCATCTCAGAAGGTATGAGGGAGGTTTCCACACGTCAGTGGGACAAATCTGAGGAACTTCTCCCCATTGTGATATCAGTACAGATGTTGAAAGAAATTTCGGGTCCCGTGGAATTCATCTGAGAGTTCTGAAGGGCTCAAATATGAAATTCCCCGGCTACTAAGTGGGGCAGGTAACCTATTGTAAAATTCGTCTTCTGTACAGAGATGAATGAAAAATAGCTAATGCAACACCAGTTTTTAAAAAGGCATGAGAAGTGTTCCTCATGAATCACTTGATTTTGTTGCAGAGGGCAATGAAAACGATGAAGGGGCTGGAGAACATGACCTACAAGAAGAGTCTGAGGGATTGGGGTTTGGTTAGTCTGCAGAAGAGAAGAGTGAGGGGGGATTTCATAGCAGCCTTCAGCTACCTGAAGGAGGTTGCCAAAGAGGATGGAGAGAAGATGTTCTCAGTGGTGGCAGATGGCAGAACAAGGAGCAATGATCTTATAGACTCATAGACTCATAGACTTTAAGGTCAGAAGGGACCATTATGATCATCTAGTCTGACCCCCTGCACAGTTCAGGCCACAGAATCTCACCCACTCCTCTTAGAATAATCCTCTCACCTATATCTCCGATATTGAAGCCTTCAAATACTTTGAAGGCCCCAAGATGCAGAGAATCCTCCAGCTGTGATCTGCACCCCATGCTACAGAGGAAGGCGAAAAGTTCGACGTTAGTTCGAATTAACTTTGATAGGCGCTACACACGCAAACCGCTAGTTCGAACTTAATTCTAACTAGCGGAGCGCTTAATTCGAACTAGGCAAACTTCATTCTACGAGGACTAACGCCTAGTTCGAATTAACGAGTTCGAATTAAGGGCTGTGTAGCCACTTAATTCGAACTAGTGGGAGGCTAGCCCTCCCTAGCTTTCCCTGGTGGCCACTCTGGGCACCACCAGGGAAACTCTTCTGCCTCCCTCCTGGCCCCGGAGCCCTTAAAGGAGCACGGTCTGGCTACAGTGCTTGTGCCAGTTCCAAGCCTGCCAGCACCCAGCCAGCAGACCCTGCACCTGGCACAAGATGAGCCAGCTACCCACTGCCACCCAGCCCTCCACCTCTTCACAGGACCAGGCTGGCAGCTCACAGGAGCTTGTCCGGGACCGCAAGAGGGGGGGACCCG